TGATATGGAAACTACATTTCTTCCCCTGTCTGCAACTTCTGGCAACACAACAATCCATACACGAATGCAGGCCTGCACAGCCTGCAACTGATAGCAACACAACAATCCATACACTAATGCAGGCCTGCACAGCTCAAAATGTAAGGCGGGCCGTAATATTTTACGAAAAACTTGTGCGGACCGATAGAAAATAGGACAAAAGGGGGGGGGGGTTGTGGAAGCTATTAAGAAAAAATAATAATAAAGAATATTTCGTTACTTTGTAGGCTACAAAGTGGGTGCTGGTGGGCCGCATGTTCTGTAGACCTGCACTAATGTATTCCAACAACTCGTTTACAATACTAAACAAGATAAATAAATTTATTTTGTTAATAGTTTCCATATATAGGTATGGAGAAGGGCAAAGAAATGTGTGCAACCTCTAACAATCTTGACCTTTATGCATATAATTTATGTAATGCATATAATTTATGTAGGGACTATAACTCAGCTAAGAATCAATTTTCAAAAAACAACATTTTTAATTAACAACATCAAGACTGAGAGTTAAATTTGATAAGAAATAAACCTATAATCGGACCAACTGCTAGCCATGCGTTTCTGGATGCGGTCCTTGTCGTCTTTGGGGAAGTGTTTCTTTGAGCCACCTTCCTGTGAGAAGTATTTCTATACCTCTGTGCTGTTGTGCCACCTTCCTGTGAGAAGTGTTTCTATACCTTCGTGCTGTTGTGCCACCTTTCTATGAGAAGTGTTCAGCTGTGTCCTCTGCACCGGGCACGCTGCGGCAACAGTATCAGCCTACTTCCAAACATTGTAGGGTTGAAAAACATCGAACACGTTTGATACATTTGCCACGTCAGGTAAAACTGAAAAACAAAATGAGGCGCCATAAAATACAGCTTTGATATTTATGACTTCGTCTTTACGTCATTAAATACAGCTTTGATATTTATGACTTCGTCTTTACATCATATTATTTTAGTGTATTGAAGAATTGTATCTAGCAATAATTTATATCGATACACACACACACACATATATATATATAATATGACTTATTATTCTCCTTATAAGTTCGTTTGCTCTTGGTAATAATTATTTATTATTTGTTAACTATCGAACTGAAATGGGGATGGGGGCTGCGTGATAGTCATCTTAGAGGAATGTAAAGCTATTGATATTCCATGATATCACCAGAGCGTAAATCAACAGACTCACCTGTGCATCCTCAACCATGACGAGCTCCAGGCACCCCACTGACTTAAATGCAAATGTTATCAATAGGTTTGCCTTACGAGTGTGTGATGCTTATAGGTATGTTTTGTTTGCTACACATTTCATGCAACGCTCTGAGCTGCCTCGAAATATTATCATCATCCCCCCCCCATTCTGCTGACAACATTGCAAAGTGAAAACGATAAATCTATATATTCATCATTTATCTCCACCTCTATGCGTAGTACATAAACATGTCCATAAAATCTCAAATCTTGAAACAAACAAATAACAAAAGCTTCATTTGTGTTGAAATAGTTATATTTCTGAGCAATTATTAGCAATGAAAATATGTTATGAAATTTACCATAGAAGAATGAAATCCCGCGTGCACCCATTGCACTCTGACAGCCGTCAAAGCGGAATGCTTTACAGAGACCCCTGTCATGTAAAAGAAACAGAACCATCTTCACCTCGCAGATTTACAAATCTAATATAGCGTTCCCTCTGTCTGTTATATGGTAGCATTGTTATTACAACTATTTGAATAGTGTAGCATAGACCAACAGAGGCTACATCTGTAAAAACCTTAAGTAACACAGCACTACACGGAACAAAAAGAAACCATCAATTCTCCAGCAGCATCAACTGTCCATTGTGGCCAATCATGGCTTTTGATACAGACTCACTAGCAACACTCAGTTGCACCTCTACTTTACTATTTATCTCATCCACTATCAAACGTTTGGGGACTCTAACTTGATGTTTTACTACAATCAATGTCAACCATTGAGTCAATTTTATCTGGGCTATCAAGTTTAGCGCGATTAGAATACCTTTTTAAAAAAAAACAGATTTTTGACTTACGAATGAAGCTGTTAGCTAATATCCTCATCAACAACATCTACCTCTATCCACAGATTTAACCAGCAACACGCCAGCATCATCTACCTCTCTTAACCAACACTATTTTGACCAGCCTCACAACGGACGCATCTACCCCTTTTACCACAACAACACAACACCCAGCAACACACATACAGCACCAACACCACCACCACCCTTGCTTTGTCTCACTCACAATTGTATGCCTTAGCGATACGACCATGATATTAATTAGATGAATGTAACAGGTTTTTTTTTCTTGTTGTTGAAACTTAATAAATTATTTATAACAATCATAAATAAACATGTTTTTTGCTTATGTTTTTAATTGTGACTCTAAATGTAAGCAGCATCTGGTATAAGATTGATGCTTGTAACATCTGGTGCAAGATTGATGGAGTCACGGGAAATCGGGAGTGGATGAATATTTAGTAAATAATGTGATTATTCATTATGTGGTTCTTTGCATAGTTAAAGACCATGACAGCTTGTTTATCCAAAGACAACACAACAAAGAGCCTCCATGAACAGGGTTAATAAATAGCGGATCGTTTCGTACATTAAAAAAAAAAAATAGGGAAAACAAAGTGTTTAAAAAGATACTTGTCAAAGCAACCGTTAATATGGAATCGTCAATTAAAGTACACATTAACATTGTATGAGAAGTGTTATTAAAGTACACATTAACATTGTATGAGAAGTGTTATTAAAGTAGACGTTAACATTGTATGAGAAGTGTTATTAAAGTAGACGTTAACATTGTATGAGAAGTGTTATTAAAGTAGACGTTAACATTGTATGAGAAGTGTTATTAAAGTAGACGTTAACATTGTATGAGAAGTGTTATTAAAGTAGACGTTAACATTGTATGAGAAGTGTTATTAAAGTAGACGTTAACATTGTATGAGAAGTGTTATTAAAGTAGACGTTAACATTGTATGAGAAGTGTTATTAAAGTAGACGTTAACATTGTATGAGAAGTGTTATTAAAGTACACATCAACATTGAATAGGGGTCTTGTAACATAATATTTTTTACGATATCGGTTGCAAAATGAAATATTGCTAGGCAGATCAGGATGTGGCTAGTGAAACTGACCTTTCTTACCTCCTTTACTTAAGACTGAAGTTGTATAGCTCTAGTTGTAGAGCCTCGTAGAACATTTTTTACCAATGTAATCTGATGGTTGAATAGAAAAGTGTATAAATAATCATCTTATCGCCAGTAGGCTATAATATTGGTGGGTGTCGTAAATACTAAAGCACTTGCCATCTATTGGGACCACATCGACATGACTCATGGTGCGTCATCGGGACATCATCCAAAAATAGTTTAGCCGGTCACACTAAGATCCAAATGTATTAAGATATTTTCGCCTGTCAGGTTAAGACCCAAATGTATTTTAAAATATCTTAGCCTGTCTTATGAAGACCCAAATGTATTTTTTTAAAAATATCGTTAAAAGTTCAATAATATCATTCAAGCACATGAAGACGCCATACGCTCCACTTCGCGGAATCCAAATCGAGGCTCACTACTGGATAAAAATCAGAAACAACAGATTTTTTATCACCCTTTTTTACCCGGGTCCACGGTCGCCGAGTGCTCTCCCCCTCCAATAATTGGTTCAATTTTCGCCAAACATGTTTCGGTGTCCCGGTATTCATGGGTCGTCGTCTGCCGTTGATGGAAACCCGATGCCATCTATTGAGAAAGACAAGGCGCGAAAATGGGGTGGCTATCTGGTCGTCTGCTCTCCCTTTTGTGGACGTGGGTCACGTAACGCACATTGACGGAAATAGCCGTTACCGCCGGCTGCTGTTGCGGTTAAGTGGTCACGTCATCAAAGTTCGTGATCAACAGTGCCCCCGAGCAAGGATCACGTGGTCGAAGTGTAGTTGATCTTGTATTCAATTGTTTTTGAAGTTTGAAAAAAAAGTAGTGGAAGAAGATATGTTTAGGCTTGACACGAAAAGACAAGACGGGATAATTAAAATTAGATACAAATTTTGTCCTTAAAAAATCTCCTGTTCATTGTATTTTTAATCTCTGGGGGGTTATAACTGACTGGGTCTAAATGGAAATTATTTTGATGTTAAAATAGCATTGAACAAAACTATACTTGTATTACATATGGAGAAATCTTCATAGTTCTGATATCAAATAAATGGAAAGCTCCAACGTGTGTCTTCGTGGCACTGGCTTCCACCTCACAACATCAAAACAAATGAGGCGATATGCGAGCACTTGTTGCTGATTATTTCGGGTGGTTGTGATGTTGTGGTTTTTTTTTTGGTTTTTTTTGGGTGTCTTTATGATATTAATATCCTCATTTTTAATTATTAACCGCTAACATGCGATGTCATTAAATTTGTTAATCTCAAACGATTAGGAAAGACGCTTCAGTCATGATTGACGAAACACAACAAAACAGTTTCAAAAGAATGTGTCTAAATTATATTCACTGAGCATTGAGCGAACACAATTTAATGAAACACGTAAAAATAATGACGTCATGTACCTCTTTCAGCAGAATATTAGTCAAGAAACATTTTCTAATAGCATACTCTTCAAACCGACCGCTTCCATCATCCTTGAATCATTCCTTGTGACAAAACATTGTGTATATGCGGGTACTCTGGTTGCTATGTCCTTGTTTAAAGTAATACAAAAAGGCCTGTTTAAAGGTTACATACTAATACACAAAAGGTCTCAATGTTAATGATGTGCTCTTTTTTTTTTTTTTTTTTTTTTTTTTTTTTTTTTTTACACAAATAAAAGAAAATGAAGACAAGAGTGGCACAAAAAACAAACAAAAAAACCCACCAACAAAAATAACACCTTAACATCATTTCGTATCTCTACGCGTTTGACGCCATTATCTTATTTGAAAACGCCGATGGCGATCTCTGATTGGATGATCACGTTAAACAGGAAGAGCTTTTCAAGGTTGAATGCAAGACACACGAAGACAATGGCACCGACTTGTTAGCGGAGTGGTGGAACAAAATCTTGACACTTGAGATAAGTAAGGATTTAATGATTTAACAACAACAAAATGGAGTTAGAGTTATCAATATTAATAATATACGATAGATTTTAATAAGGGGACCGTGTGATTTTGAAACATTTGTAGTGTTACAGAAATTGTCTACATTTCTAATAGTAACCATGGGTAGGCATTTTTATGACGTCATAATCCTACAAGTTAATGGGAAGCAAAAAGTATTCAGCCATTGAGAGCAAATCCTTTTCAAAGGCTTACTAGAACAGTTATCGACTATTCTTGAATATTCGGATATCCTCAGCCATAATTACCCTTTGACACTTGAAGCGAAATGGCTTTTAAGACTTAAACTTATTTAGAATGGTTAGAATTGCATTGTGGTACGATGAATTATGGTTATCTTGCAATTTCCAATCACGATTTGAAAAAATTATATTTTTAAAACTGCCATACTCCTTACCAATAAACTATATTGGTGTTCCTGCATTGTCAGTATGGGGCTCTCAGTTGAATCACTTCCATAAACTTATTGAAAAACTGTTTTTATTTACTAGGGTACTCCAATATATCATAATATATGATTACAACAAAAACATTAGTATGTAAGTATCTACGTTTAACCTTAAGCCTTCTCCTAAAATTAATTGTCGATCCGTCTTAACAGAACTTAATTTGACAACAATTTAAAAAATCCCATGTAAAGTTATAATCCAAACTGAACTAAAACAATTTTTAACTGCTAGGACTGCCGCTTAGTTCAATCTTTTAATTTTAACAAAATAGCTGCTTAATATCTGAACATGCATTTTTATATGCCAACAATAATCAACTTCTCAATAAAGCACACAAAAGTAGATTTCAGTGGAAGAATACTTAATTTTTTAGAATATGCATGACATTATTTAGAACAACCATTAATATAGAGTAATGAATATGCAAGGATGAATATACAACAGTCAATATACAAAAATGAATATACAACAATGAATATGCCACCATGAATGAGAAATGGTTGCAGTATCACGTGTTAGCCCTTTGAAGCTACATCAAGATACATGTTTGATTATTAATTGTTTTCCACAGGAGGTCCCTTGCACCCTGCGTAACTCATTTCAGACAGCCCATTTTCTTGATTATCCTTGTACTTGCAAGCACCGAGCGCCAACAATGTACGACTGTGCTGTCGGAGACACCATCTACACGGTACAGAGCCCTTGCGGCAACAGCCACTCTGACTTTGAGTGTCAGGTCGGGAACACGAGTGTCGCCCACAACAAAGGACCCTCTGAGGTACCCTTGGAGCTTCAGACACCATTGAGTGAGCTCTCGTGCTCCAGCGACTTTGAGTGTCAGGTCAAGGCCGTTACTTCGGACTTCCAATGCCAGGTCAGTGATGCAATTTTCCCATAATATAATGGGGCCCCCCCCCCCCCCCCCCCAAAAAAAAAAAAATCACCTTCTCACTTTTTTTTTAGATGGGTGTTTCGATTTAACTTTCTTGGACGGGGCCATGTTTTCTGTCTGCTTTCTAAGATTGGCTCTGTAATGGAATTGAGAGCTCTGTAATGTTATTGTGCATTCTGAGACAAGCCTCGCGATTGTGTCCCCCCGCTTAAATTTCACGTCGGCTGACTCTTCTTATGCTTTTCATTACTACGTCCAGTAATTAGGCTTTGGTCGCACAGAGGCTTTCCACGTCACAGAGCAGGTTGATGAAGCATTTCTGATGGAGCCAATTTTATTTCAGCCCCCTATGTCCTATGTGTTTTTGCAGACGTTTCAGATCTGTCACTATAAACTTCAGCTGTGTACTGTCTGATGACTGTAACATTATATGTTTCAATCACTTGCACAATAAAACAGGAAGAGCCGTAATAAAGTGAGAGCAATGTTGTGTTCTATTTTATAACAAACATTTTAAAATCAAAATATCTTTCTTTTTTTTTTTTTAAATAACACGACTCCATCATTAAAAATAATAATTTGTAAACACTGATGACGTCAAAGAAAGAGCAACGTGGGTGATGAATGAAGAGTGAATATTATGGAAGAAATCTTAGACTCTCGGACATTCACACTCTAGTAAAATTGAATAAATTCACATAAAATAGGCGTTTGGGGGAATAGTAAAGATGATGTCATCAAGCTTAGACACTTAGACATTCATAATTTAGTTAAATCAATTGACATAAAATCTTATTTATTTTCTTGAACTAAATTTTCTAGGCTTAAATTGATTTTTTTTACCAAGCTGATTATTTGTTATTTTTTTTTTCGGTAAGAAAATAACGATTGCCGAATAATCAGCTAGGTGGCCGACGGGTGTAGTCCGATTACGATTATCTGATGACGAATCGGTTCGACCCTACTTTTTAGCCAATATACAGATAAAACAAGACCACTTAAAAAGAGGTCATATTTTTCCCATTAGTATTCCATATGAATACTGAAAGAGGAGATGAAATGATTGATGAAATCTGCCAATATTCACTCTACTCTGACATTCTCATTTTGGTTCTTTATACCCCAAAAGACGTATGGGATTTTGAATCTACACAAATCTGCAATGCAACCCTTTGCGTCTTTCAATCCCATTAAAAACGGGACATAACCCCCATTTTGCCTTGACCTTTTTGTTCCCCTTGCCGTTTCCCCCCCCCCCCCCTAGGCCAAAGCTGGGTGTTTGGATCCCACGAGACCTGCCAACAAATGCCGCACCCAGACGAAATCTACCGAGACCAGATGCCAGACGAAGACCTCCAGCTCTGCCTCGCAGTGCAACATCCTGTCCAGCGGCTCGTCGGCTGACTTCCAGTGCCAAGCGGGGAGGCCAGACGGTCAGTCGGTGAGCCAGCACAGGCCGAAGATGTCGGTGTCGGCGGACTTCCAGTGCCAGGTCGGTGCCTCGCAGTCGGACTTTCAGTGTCAGTTCAACGACAACGTCCACGCCTGATGTGACGTCACCTGCCTGACGTCGACAGAAGACCGCAGCCCAGGTGTAAAGTGGTCAGCTGCAAGATAAGCCGCCAAAATATTTCGAATCTACTTGAAGTTTAATAGTTCTGTGATTAATTCAGCGAAGTGAATTTTAATATTTTATTACATATTTAAATAGCTTCTGTTTCAATATTTGAAAGAAAAAAAATATTATTTAGATTTGACATTTCTTTATTGCACATTCCAGCTTTCGGGAATCTCTAAAAATGCATTCAATAAAACAGTTATTTGTTCCACGAACTGACTTCCTGGTAAAGGTTTTTAATGATCGTATTTTACATGTTATGCGTTGCTTTATCCGTTTAATATGTTTTAAATCAATAGTTATTGATCCGAACTTTTTTATTAAGGTAAAAAAAAAAAAACAACAACAACAAAATTTAATAGCATTAAAATTAAAAATGTTCTTTGTTATTTACGAAAAATAATTTTATTTAAAAAAAAAACATTTACTGTGTCCATGCTTTTCATTTGTTTTGTTTTAAACGGGTAGGACAGTCTGTCAGTCTGACAATCAGACAGTGGGACAGACAGTCAGTAGGATATTCTGAAGACAATGACATGTAAGGTAATGAACGAATTTAGGAGGGTTACACACACCTTGGAGTTCGAGGCTTATTTCCCTTGATTTACTATATTTCCTTTGATTTATTAAAATTAAAAACTCAAATCACTCAATCCCCAAAGTAGAGGAACAAAACATTTGTAGTAGTTCTTTGTTTGAAATATATGGATTAGATTTAGAATGGGAAACTTCAAATCTGCATGCGTGGCTCAGGGTTTAGGGAATCCATTATCTCTGATCAGTTGCCGGTAAAACTGGGCGGAACTGCGGGGGGTTCTCGTGCGGTTGGTGCTGCTGAAGTCAACATGGTATAAGCCGAACTTGTCGTTGTAGGCACTTGCCCATTCCAGGTTGTCCATCAGTGACCAGGCCGTGTAGCCGCGGAGATCAACTTTGTCCAAGTCGATGGCTAAATACAATAAGGGAGCGTTAAAAATAGACTGGACAATTTCATACACTCGCATCAATCTTGGAAAATTATTAATTCAGTTTATGACTTCTAGATCAGTGTTCCCCCAAATGGGGCTCCACGGACCACCACCGGTCCTCACAGCATGAAAATTTTTGTTCAAAAAAAAACCCCCCCCCCCAAAAAAAAAAAAAAAAAAAAAAAATCATAAATCGGGCACCTTACTCTGGTACTATTTCGTAACTTGTCCACCGGACCACTAATCTTTAACATCGAGAAATTGCTGAATAATTTTAAGACAATATGCTTAATATGCTTAATAAATGATTTTTTCATTTTTTTTTTTAAATTTAACTATACCCCAATGTATAGGTAGGTATCCATGGGTAAAAGGATTTATTTTAACTTAATTTTTTTTAAATTTGTGTCCCAAAAGCAACAGATCTAATTCCCTGAGGATAAGGATCTTTGAATGAACCATGGAACATTTTTTTAAAAGACTTTTCCGTTAATCGCGTTTCCCTCTTGGTGAAGCGTTATATTTTTGTGTACAAACGTGACACTATTGAGATTTCCCTTGCAGTGTTCACCTGGTGAACGGCTGGGAAAGGGTGGGTGAGGGAGGGACTGAGCTCCGTAATATAGGGTTGACGGAGGCGGGTTGACACTGTCACAAAATAATAGTGTTTTACCCCATCTGCTCCACGGTTGAGTGAACGGGTGGGTGAGTGAGCTCAGATCTACTTTTAGTTTGATGCCTAGGTCAAGGGTTAAGTCACATCAACCGGAATTTTGTAAGCATTCGTTGCTTTAAAAAAAAAGCAAACAATTCTACTTTTGTTGATTATTTAAAGATTACAATTTTAATAATAAACAGAAGAAAATTTAAATATACAATATATAACTATTTAAACTTTAAAAACAAAAAAATAAACAAATAAAAAATTTCTATCAAAGTCGAGTTAAAAAACACTCGAACATTTTTTAAAATACTTTACCTAAAAACGTAGCTGTATATTTTTTTTGTATTAATAAAAATAAGGCATATTTAAGTGTCGTCTACCTTCAGTTAGAATCCCTTAGCTTCATGGGGTGGTACAAAGTGTGCTGCATAGAGTGCTCATCTTCACTTCTGCTGTCTTTTTTGGCTTCATAGGTTGCTCATCTAAACTTCTGCATTCTTTTTTGGCTTCATAGCGTTCTCATCTAAACTTCTGCAGTCTTTCTTTGGCTTCATAAGTTGCTAATCTAAACTTCTGCAGTCTTTCTTTGGCTTCATAAGTTGCTAATCTAAACTTCTGCAGTCTTTCTTTGGCTTCATAAGTTGCTAATCTAAACTTCTGCAGTCTTTCCTGGGCTTCATAGGTTGCTCATCTAAACTTCTGCAGTCTTTCTTTGGCTTCATAAGTTGCTAATCTACACTTCTGCAGTCTTTCTTTGGCTTCATAAGTTGCTAATCTAAACTTCTGCAGTCTTTCCTGGGCTTCATAAGTTGCTAATCTAAACTTCTGCAGTCTTTCTTTGGCTTCATAAGTTGCTAATCTAAACTTCTGCAGTCTTTCCTGGGCTTCATAAGTTGCTAATCTAAACTTCTGCAGTCTTTCTTTGGCTTCATAAGTTGCTCATCTAAACTTCTGCAGTCTTTCTTTGGCTTCATAAGTTGCTAATCTAAACTTCTGCAGTCTTTCCTGGGCTTCATAGGTTGCTCATCTAAACTTCTGCAGTCTTTCTTTGGCTTCATAAGCTGCTAATCTAAACTTCTGCAGTCTTTCCTGGGCTTCATAAGTTGCTAATCTAAACTTCTGCAGTCTTTCATGGGCTTCATAAGTTGCTATTCTAAACTTCTGCAGTCTTTCTTTGGCTTCATAAGTTGCTAATCTAAACTTCTGCAGTCTTTCCTGGGCTTCATAAGTTGCTAATCTAAACTTCTTTCTTTGGCTTTATAAGTTGCTCATCTAAACTTCTGCAGTCTTTCCTGGGCTTCATAAGTTGCTAATCTAAACTTCTGCAGTCTTTCTTTGGCTTCATAAGTTGCTAATCTAAACTTCTGCAGTCTTTCTTTGGCTTCATAAGTTGCTAATCTAAACTTCTGCAGTCTTTCCTGGGCTTCATAAGTTGCTAATCTAAACTTCTGCAGTCTTTCTTTGGCTTCATAAGTTGCTCATCTAAACTTCTGCAGTCTTTCCTGGGCTTCATAAGTTGCTAATCTAAACTTCTGCAGTCTTTCTTTGGCTTCATAAGTTGCTAATCTAAACTTCTGCAGTCTTTCTTTGGCTTCATAAGTTGCTAATCTAAACTTCTGCAGTCTTTCTTTGGCTTCATAAGTTGCTAATCTAAACTTCTGCAGTCTTTCCTGGGCTTCATAGGTTGCTCATCTAAACTTCTGAAGTCTTTCCTGGGCTTCATAAGTTGCTCATCTAAACTTCTGCAGTCTTTCTTTGGCTTCATATGTTGCTCATCTAAACCTCTGTAGCCTTTCTTTGACTTCATAGGCTGCTCTTCTTAACTTCTGTACCGACATTCTTTGCGCATTGCATATTAAGAGAGTTTGTTTTTTCTTTTTTTAGTGTGTTTTAAAACGTAAATTTTTAATTATTTAAAAAAAAAGTAAACGGAACTTTGAACTGTACCTTTGAGCAGCTCATTAATGTAATACTTGTAGTAGTATATCCTGTCTGGGTCATCGAGACTTTCTTTACTGGGTCGTCCACTCTCAGTGATGTAGATTGGCGGATTATTGAAGTGCTGTTTGGCCCATCGCAAGATGTAGCGGATACCCCACGGGTTGATCTTCAGCCAATCAACATCAGAGCTGAAACATTGGCAACAACGGGATTGGTCAGAGAGAAATAGAAGATATGCGTTCAGCCAATCAACATCTCAGCTGAAACAATGGCAGCAAAGGAATTGGTCAGAGAGAAATAGAAGATCTGAGTTCAGCCAATCAACATCAGAGCTGAAACATTGGCAACAACGGGATTGATCAGAGAGAAATAGAAGATCTGAGTTCAGCCAATCAACATCAGAGCTGAAACATTGGCAACAACGGGATTGATCAGAGAGAAATAGAAGATCTGAGTTCAGCCAATCAACATCAGAGCTGAAACATTGGCAACAACGGGATTGATCAGAGAGAAATAGAAGATCTGAGTTCAGCCAATCAACATCAGAGCTGAAACATTGGCAACAACGGGATTGATCAGAGAGAAATAGAAGATTGGAGTTGAGCCAATCAAAATCTGAGTTAAAACATTGGCAGCAAAGGGATGCGGGTCAGATAGAAATGGCAGATGGGAGTAAATCCTATGTGATGCTACAGCGGTGTAAATGAGGATGAGATGTATTGATATAGGGGTGTAAATAGGAATGAGATTTGATGATATAGGCTTTAAATGGGGATTAGATGGGATGATAAAGGGGTGTAAATGGGAATTTGATGATATAGTTAGGAGTGTAAATGGGGATTTGATGATATAGGGGTGTATCTGGGGACGGAATGTGTTGATATATGGGAGTGAATGGGGATAGGATTTGCTGATTTCGGGGTGTAAATGGGGATGCTATGATATAGGGGTACCAATGGGGGTGGGATGTAATGGTCCAAGGGTGTAAATGGGGATGAGATCGGATGATAAGTGCAGTCAGAAAAATACGGTCCTACCTCGGCCAGCATGGGTCAGCTCTGGTGTATATGTCCTGGTCCTGCTCGTAGCTGGGCTGTGAGTCCGGCCGAGGCTTGTTGGCTACGAGAGTACTTGTATAATGATTCATGCCCAGAAAGTCGTACGCACCTGTACACAGTTAAATTGGACAGCGTTGAACCAGGGTAAATTCCTTTTTGTAGGCGCAACCTTGTACTCAGTTATTTGTTTAAATGAGCATTGAGTTTCTCAGGATAAATTAACACATTTAATTGTTCAGATGTAAGAGTGTTAGAAATAATACATCTGTGTGTTTGCTGTATTCAACTTCGATTTGCCAACATCAAGAAGTTTAAAACTAGATTTTTATAAATTTTGTAATAAAGGTAAAGCGAATCTATCGTATTCGATTAGTATTTTAGAGTCGAACGTATTCAATTAGTATTTCGTAGTCCATCGTATTCGATTAGTATTTTAGAGTCTGACGTATTTGATTAGTATTTTAGAGTCTGTCGTATTCGATCAGTATTTCGTAGCCTATCGTATTTGATTAGTATTTTAGAGTCTAACGTATTCGATTAGTTTTTTAGAGTCTGTCGTATTCGATTTGTATTTCGTATTCTATCGTATTTGATTAGTATTTCAAAGTATATCTTATTCGGTTAGTATCTCAGAGTCTATCGTATTCGATTTGTATTACAATAAGCTAAGAGTGTTTTTGTCTCTATCATTAATTGTTTCGGCTGTCAAGGGCCTTTTGACGGAAGCGTTCACTTTCTGTTATCGTCCATCTCCTGGTTTTCATCTACACGTTGTATATTTCAATGAAACTAGTTGGCAATAAAAGCTTTGCCTCGCTTTCAGTTAGTGTACTATTTTTTTTTTTTTATATGCCAACGTCCATGTGGTAGCCAATTACTGACTATAATTGTACGATACTTTTTACGCCAAACTCCCAATTTTAAAGATCCAAAAAGATTGGAAACATAAAACCGGCAAATGGGATCACGCGAGAAACAGTTCCATATTCCTGGCCAGG